AGGAGAGCTCCAGAGGGAGGGTCGCCGGGAGGAGTGGAGGGTCGCCGCACGTCGAATTCAGACCACCAGAGGGTTTGGGGTTGGTTACTGGACGGAGGAGAGCTCGATTTGGGTCGCCAATTGACTCGCCGGACGATGGGGGGCGGTGGAACGGCGAAATACGTCGCCGGTCGGGGGATATTTAGTTTTAGGGTTTTTTTAAATCGAGAATTGGGGAAAAAATGGGAGGGGGAAGAGTTGACCGGCTATATATAGTCCTGCAAAATTCGGCTTTCTGAAATCCGAAACTACCAGATCTGGATTTCAGAAATCCAAATCTCCCCTATTTCTCCTCAAATTGCACACTCCCAGATGCTTTCCTCAATTCAGATCACCGAAATCCGAACGTAGTACAAATTACAAAAACCCGGATTTTAGAAATCCGAGAACTTTGCTGCAGAAAATCGGCCCTGTTTCAGATTTCTGAAATCCAAACGTAATACAAAACGCCTACTTTCGGATTTCGGCAATCAGAATCCTATACAAAACCTTAAAATGAGCATTTTTGTTTTTTGCACAATCCCAAGAACCTGTTATCAACAACTAATATCTATTTCATCACAATCACAGCACCAGCACCAACAATTTAATGTTAACATTACAATCCGAACAATTCAATGTTAACATTACAATCTGAATTTATCAATACAAATATTTATAGAATATTTAATTAAACAGTTGTCATTCCAAATAACTTGCAAGAACACTAAATGACTCTCAATTCCAGCTGTTATTCACAGGTCTTCTATCTACTCTTGGGTGCGAGTTAAGACAAGAATTGGCATCATGACCTTGTTGTCCACATCTCCAACATTTCCCCCGGCTCCGGCGTCCCCTGTAGTCCATTTGCATTCTACGTCTCTTTTTTTGTCTTCGTCCCGGTCCCGCATGCAACACAAGATGCTCATAATTTGGAATGATATTCCAATTGACCGTCGGCCATTGTTCCTCATCGGAAACTGGAACAAAGCCCGTGTAATCAAATTGTCTGTGCCACGCTGGAAGGCGCCACACACTATGGTATAGTCAATAGGCCGATCTCCTTTTCTCCGGCAAACTTAGAGTGCGTGCGTACAATGCATCCGGTACTCTTGCCACTTCCTGCACGAACACCTATGTTCACCACAGTTCACCATATGCAAAAGACCCACCCCTGCCACTTAGCCGTGTTGGAGTAACAACCCGCCACCTAGCATCATCACCATCAAAAGGGGTGGCTTCAAAACTGGCTGCTTTGTCGTTCATTTTCTCATATTTTTTCCATAACTCAGGAGGGATCGGTGTCATGCAATTTCTCGTAGACAATTGTTCTTCTCTGTAGAATTTCACAGTTTTGCGAAAGGTTGCATCGATCAAGGCTCTAATTTGTAAAAACCGGATCCCTTTCAACGCATTGTTGTAACTCTCAGAAATGTTGGTTGTTGCTATGCCCCAACGGTGAAGACCGGCTTTCAATCGAGCCCAGTTACTCCCTCCAATCCCTCGAAGATACTCCCATGTAGCAGGTTTGAATTTAATAAGCTCTGTCCTCATACGATTGTATTTCACTCTTGAAAGCGTCGTGCCCATCTTTCAACATAACCACTTCATCTTTTTGCTATTATATCGTGACACAAGATTGTTGCGAATGTGGCGGAGGCAAAGAAAGTGGCCACCATCACCTAAATCACGCCATTCATCCATCTGTGACATTGCGCTCAACAACCCTGCATTCCGGTTGGATATGACACTTAAGATTCTATCATGCACAACCCACAACCTCAAATTCCTCATAAAAAAAGTCCAACTCTCTACTGTCTCTTCATCCACAATCGCAAATGCAACCGGTAAAATGTGCTTGTTTGCGGTATAGACCACCGTAACAAGCAATTTACCCTTGTATCCACCACGCAAGAAGATTCCATCGATACAAATGACCAGCGGACAATCAAGAAACATCGCAGCCACTGGTGCAAATGACCAGAAGACGTATTTAAATGTCCTATTTCCCCTGTTCCAACCTTCTTGTCCCTCCTTCCATTCCCAATCTACTACAGTCTCAGGATTAGTAAATTTAAGCGCAGCGATATACCTACACAACAAACAAGTCATAGTTAAAATATTTTAATACATGTAACAAAAAAAAAACACTAAAAATATTTCAATACACGGATAAAAGTTGATATTTACCGTGGAAGTTCTTCGAAATTCGAGGTCCAATCACCATAGACCGCTTATATGGCTTTCCTCCTCCCGTGCCACGCCCTTTTGTATATCACATCTACTTTCAATAAGGTCTTCAAATCTTTCTGTGCCGAGGCTACCGTATAATCTACGTTGTCCTCAACCTTTCTCCAGATGAGTCAAGCAATCAAAGACGCGTCCACACGCCGATTGTCATTATCATTCACGGGAGTCATGCAATTATGTGCATCATGCCATCTCACAATTTCATGAAGGCCGTGAGCTTTCAAAGACACACGCATCTTCCACTCACATGGTGGTTCACCATCCTCACTTTCCACATTTAATGTTCTGCACCGCACAGTCCACGTCGTTAGACTTCTCGCGGCGACCGTATATTCCCTTTTATGATGGATGTTCCATAATTTCACAGCATGCTTTGCTTCTGATTGGGATTTGAAACGAACACCAATGTCCATTCCTTAGGGCATCTCATCCCACATCTTAAAAGCAAACTCATCCTTGTCCACACATGAGGCATCCCATTTCCCCATCTTACTATATACATGGCGTCGGGGCAATGGATTACAATCTCTTTCCTCATTTTCCAACCTTTCCTCATCACTTTCTTCAAAATCACTCTTTTCAGAGATATCACAATCTTCTTCTCTTTCGGTTGGAGCTATGTAGTCGGGATCCGATCTTCCCGGTAGTCATCTTGTAGAAATAAAAGTGTCTCTTCTTCATCACGGTTTTGAGAAGTACTAGCACGTTCCCCCCTTGGAAAACCACCAAATGACACGTTGTTTTCCAAACTCGCTTCTCTTTCTTCGTAAGTGATATCTTCCAAATCTATGTATAAATCCAAACATGACATTGGACCACCAAATGACACGTTGTTTTCCAAACTCGCTTCTCTTTCTTCGTGAGTGATATCTTCCAAATCTAATGTATAAATCCAAACATGACATTGGATCTACATGCTTCATGAACTCTTCATGCGAATCATTCTTGATCTTCACTACACGCCTACCACCAGGACTATCAAAATCAAAAAAAGGTGGAGTTTCACGTGTGCTGGATCCCAACCAAGTGTCATACAAATCTTACTAATCAATCCCTCATATGACAACCTTTCCTCAACAAACAAACTATCATCCGGCATATTCGAAAAAGTGCTGGTGCTACCATTCTCTATCACATACTTGCTTGTGTAAAACAAATTAAGCATGTATGATACATTACGTGCCATTGATAACTGTTAAAAAAAAACATCAATATCTAATCATTTATTAATAACAAAATCAACAGATACACCATACATACTCCATTCATAATTCAAAAAACCTATAAGATACTAAAATACTTATAAATCAACTTCTATATCTCATGAATAACTATGATTTCTCATCTCTAACCTCAAAATCAACACCTTAAACATCCAAACAACCAATCAACATAAACCCTAATTTGTCATACATCATTCTAACAATTAAAATAACACAAAACTAAACTAAATAACATGGTTTTGCAATCTAACCTCTTTCAAATAACGATTCCCACGTGTCTAGAGGCAAGAATGCATCAAAAGCTCCAATTCGCCCTTGTTTGAGCTGCAGAAACAGAAAATCCAACTCAGTTTTCGAATGAGAACTGTCTGAATTTTTTTTTTCTTTTATAGTACGATAAACTCGGATTTCCGAAATCCGAGTCCATAAGTAACTCGGATTTCCTAAATCCGAATTACGGTGGACTCGGATTTCTGGAATCCGAGTTTGGTCAATTCCGAATTTTTTTAATTTATTTTTTGATCCTCCAATTTATGGCACATGCCTGCTTCCACCAACCAAAATTAATAGCAGTCGGATTTCCAAAATCCGAATACAGAAAACCGGATTACGAACTTCCGATTTTTGGATTCAAAAATTTCGCGCCTCGATTTTCTTTTTTTCTTTTTCTTTTTGAGAACTCGAATTTTGTAAATCCGAGTCCTACTGTTTCTTTAAAGAGTCCAGGAGTTCAAATATTTCGCGCCTCAATTTATTATTTTTTAATTAAATTCGGATTCCGCAAATCTGAACGGCACTGTTCATTTAAGAATTTTTAAAAACTATTATTCAATAAAATTTATTTAATTATTATTTTATCATTAAATGGAGTTACGGATTTCCGAAATTCGAATCGTTAATTTTAATCAGAACTCGAATTTCAGAAATCCGTGGGATATATTCCTGTCCACAAATATTCTAAAAAATTTAAATTTGTCTACGTTTATTTTAATTAAATTTTTTTAGGGAAAAGACCCCCTGATTTGTTCTATGTTTGGGTTGTTCTTTTAGTTTGAAGTTTTATGTATTTTTTATATTGGGAATGTAAACAAGTGTTGGAAATATAAAAAAGTATACTGGGATATGATAACTATTATTATATAATTCTGAAAAAAAAAACCATGAAAAAACGGAAACTAACAGAGTTCATTTAATTTAATTATTACTTGTTTATAAATTCTTTTCTCACCTTTCTTTCTATAATATATCACCTCCTCACATACTTGATACTTCTTTTCATTCATTTCTCTTCAGATCATCATTTAACAACCTTCCGTAACCGGCCATAAAAAGGCTTTTATTAACTCAACATTAACACCAAGAGGACCCTTGAAAGAAAGTAAATACTCAATACATATTATTGGTTAATGATGATAAAAAAAAAAAAACTAAAAGGTTTTATTCAATTGAAATATTAATCCATTCCAAATCATGTTTAAGTACAAATAATGGTTATTTCCAAATTGTAAGTGAAAGTTCTATATTGTTTAGTTAGCTGAACATCTTATTTTTGGAGTGTAAATATTACATTGTGTTTTTTCATTTGAACAAAGAAAAAAAGGGACCCAAATATATATTTCGCCCCAGTACTAATCCCTAATCCCTGCCTTTTACATGCTAGTTGATCTAGTGTGTTACGTACATTTTATTGGTATGTCGACATTTATCGTTCAACAAATAGTCTCCTTTATTTAAAATTCAAACATGAAGATATCCCAAAACAAATAAAAGATCGTGCAATGAAACTACATTGATTCAATACGGGAAACTAGTTTAAACCAAAATCTCAAGGACTCCATTGCGGAGAAGTAATTAGTTTGTGGTTACTTAATTTGAACAAACGATTGCCATGGACTTTGGGATCTGAAAGTTACAATATAAGTAACTCAAAGCTTTGAATTCCTCCTCCTCTTGGAAACACACTCATCTGGGAGCTTCATTTCTACCCAATCTTCATCACAAATTTGAGAACAAAATTGTTCAATCATCTCATCCGTGACCTCTTCCAGTTTGGATGGGTTCCACTGTTTTGAAGGAATGCAAATTGAAGAAGTCATAAGATTGGAGGATATAGGACAGTTTTGATAAATTAATCACATTCTCTCTCTTCAAGAAACCAACCCTTATTTGATTATTTCGGACAGAAGGAGTAATACAAATTAACAAAATAATACTTTAAGTAACTGCTCTATATGCCATCAAATCCAAGGTTTTTTTTTTTATAAAAAAAATACCTTTGGTTTCGTATCTCTCTGAAAGAATTTTGCTCTTGCACCCTACAAAACAAGGTTAAAAACAAATAACTTTACTGTAAAGCAAAATAGGTTATTTATTACTACATTAAACAGTTGAAGAAGGTGAATAATTACTTTTTATTGCACATAGATATAAAAGAGAAACACATAAACACACATATATATCCAAGAGAGTAAAAAAAAAATAGTACCTCCAAGAAGTCGTCATTGACCGTCCCTACTCCAAAATGCATTGCCATCAAATAATCACGGGCTAAACACTCCTTTAGAGTTTTAGATCGTGATTCTCTTATCTGAGGGAATACAAAGTGAAGAGGAGAGATAGGACTATCAAAATTATGTATCAAGAAATTAATTTCGCCTCGAACTATATAACATGTTATACAAAGTTATCTTAAATTTTAACGACTTGATCTAGTTAAAACTCATTATTATTAATTGTAACAATATAATATTTTTAAAATTAGATAGTCTCGAAATATTGTAAGTGGTTATATGACGGAAGTTTTCCTTACACCCAAAAAAGAAAAGGAAAAAAAAACAAATGAAGAAAAAAAAAAATGACATAAGACCCTCATTTTTATCAATGTAACTGAAACATTCAAAAAGTAAAATGAAATCATCTCAAAAAGGATAGTGGGAAAGTTCCTTACAATCTTTAGAGTTAGTTTCAAACTTGTGGGTGAAGCCAATTTGATAGAATCAATTGCTTTGGCAATCCATTTGTCTTCATTATTAGCACCTTCATTTTCCTATAAATAAGTACGTACAACATCACATCATTTCGACAATTAAGAAATATATATGATATATCTTTAAAAAAGATATGTATAGATCATACAAGAGTTGAAATCGTAGTGTTGTAACAACTTACAAGGGAGAATAGTATTTGTTCCACTGTGTTCCTCGAAAAGCAATTGTTAATTGTTTCAATTCTAATATACAAAACCCAACAGAAACTTTATCAGTAATGATAAATATACTTAATAAGTTGATGTGATGAATTTTTCAAAATTATGTACCAAGCGTATAGATTCAAGGGACTAGAGAACATATATAGCTATCAAATTAGACATTGAAAAAATTGTGGCGCAAATCTCTTTTATATATATATATATATATATATATATATATATATCTATATATATATATATATATATATATACTTTCTGTGTAGCAAATTAATCTTTTTTTTAGATAAAGCAAAGAAACTTTTTGCATGTCTATAAGTATCAAACTTTCTCATCATATTTCCCTTATTTCAAAATAAAAGTTCTATTTATCATATCACGATAATTATTTCGAGACCGAAAAAATTAGCTTTGTAGTCTGTCTATTCAGAAAGTTGTTTCATAAGTCAAGATATGACGCTCGATAATAATATTTGTTTCAAGAACTAGCAATTAAAAGATGGGGAAGAGACACATAAAAATTGTTATAATCTAACAAATTAAATCACCTGTTGCAAGGGCTGCTTGTTTTTAAATTCGGAACTTTTGCAAATTTGTTGATCACCTCAGCAATAAGTTGCGTCCCATTTGAGGCGGCTATGCGTAGCTCAGATTCTAATTGTTCAAGATCCTGAAAATTTTAAAAAGAGAAAAATCCTAATTAATTTTATGCTGTAATAACCAAGTATATATAACGTTATTGCTAGCCTCTAACTACTGTAAGGTCATTTGCTTATCTTGACCGACGGTTTGATAATTGTGCAAACTTCTAGTTTCACGTTTTGTTCATATAAGGAAATTTCAGAGATTCGTGTGGATGATAATTTTTTGGAAATATTTTTTGTTTGAAATGTAAGAAGAGGTACATTAGAAATGTATAAAAAAGTGTCAAAAGTAACTTTTTTTCTTAAGATACAATTAATACAAATAAAGCCATCTCTATTTTATTTGGTTTATGATGTAAGGCAGAACGCCAAAGAAGTACTTGATGGAATGCATTTCCTTGTTTTCAAGAAAAATAAAATAAAATAAAAAAGCTCGAGCTCTTCCTTTCAGACCCGATAGAGATCTATGCGACATATAAAGTTTTTTTTTGGGTATTTAGTTGTATGTTCTTCAATAATATCGAGTCCAAAAAGAAAAAAAAAAAGAGAAAAAAAAGAAGGCTTACCTTAGATGGAACAAAATGAGATGCAAGTCCAACAAAAAGCATATCCGCGCCATCAAGTTTAGTACCCGTTAGCCCCAAAAACTCACCTGAATCATGATTTGGTTGGTAATCAAAATTTAGATGAAAAATAAGTAATCTTATATGGTTGACTAATCTTAGATTTTTGCCTACCAGAAATCCCACAAATTAATTAAGAAGAAGAAGAGATTATGCATGGTAAACTAAAACACCATGGGGTTCATATGGAATGTGTTTTGGTTCCAATTTGTCTAATAAAAAGTTTCTTTCAAATTGTATCAGATAGTGTAAAAGCTAGTGATCGAATAGTTCAGTCAATTGTCTAAACCAAATGATCACAAGTTCTCAATCACAGAAAATACATAAAATCACTATAACCTTTGTAACCTACTGTTTGATTAAATTAATTTGACTTTATTTATGTGTCTATTTGAGTGTTCAAGCTAACTCTCCCTATTAGTTAGACATTTCATTAAAAACTATTAGACCTTTAACATGCTTTTATTTGGGAACTCTTTTGTTTTTTTGGGGGGGTACTATAGGAATATTATTATCGGTTTTCAAACATAATTAATGAAAATGATACCCCTCCGTCCCAAAACTATTGTCCAATTTAGATTTTTATTTGCAGTTCAAATTGTATTAAAATTAAAAATGTAAACTGAACAATAATTTTGGGACAGAGGGAAAACGTGCTTGATAGAAGAGGAGAAAAACTACCCAAATGCCCAGGCAACCTAGACAGAAAATAGGAAACTCCAACGTCCGGAAACAGTCCTATTGAGACCTCTGGCATGGCAAACACCTATCAAAAAGTAAAATGTTGAAATAGGAATTAAATCATATTGAAAGCAAATGAAAGCAAATTACATTAAATTTTGAGTTGGGTCAATAAAGAAATAAACATTATGCAATACAATACGATGTTGAGTGACATACAAGTAAATAAGAATAATGTCTTACAGTTTTTTCGGTAACAACACGAAATGTTCCATTTAGGCAAAGTCCAGCGCCCCCTCCCATCACAGCTCCATTGACGAAAAAGACCTTCACAATTGTATTGTGAAATGTAAAAACTAATAAAAAATATTGAAAAAGAAATAAATCATAAAGGAAACCACTGTAAAGACATTAAAGAAACTTATTACAAGTGGTTTGTTGTAAATGGACACAAGATAATCCAACATGAGTTGTTTGCGGTAGAAGAGGCCACTATAACTCCAGTTCCCTAGTGTCAACAAGAAAGAAAGAAAGAAAAAAAGCATAAACATTATTAGCTTATGATTTTGTAATTATTATTTAATTAATTTATTAATTAAGGTTCAAATTCATATCAAAGAGTAATTCAGAATTACTAAACAGGTATAGAAGTAAAAACCAGCCAAAATAACTTGAATTAATCTGGTAACATCGCCACCAACACAAAATGCTTTTCCATTTCCCTGCAGAGAAATAGATGGGTATATTTACATACAAAAGGTATCGATAAATTTAACTGTAGATAACTTTTTTGGAAACTGAAAATAATTTTGTTCTTAAATAATGGCATTGCGGTTAAGACATTACCTTAATCAATACAAGCTTCAGTTTTGGATCAAACTCATGTTCTTGTAGAGTATTTTTCAGCTGCGATACCTGTTCAAAGTGACCAATTAATAAGAATATGACCTTATCAATTCTTTTTATTTAAATGGTTTAACAGATTTGATTCCAAAAAAAAAAAAAGCAACTTTTATTTAGATTAATAGATTTGATTAAATATGCTGCATTTACTCAATTTTTTTTCCCTGAATTCTTTCATCAATTAAAAATATACTTATATCATAAATTAGACATGCAATAATATTATGCGTACCATTTGATGAGTGAGGCTATTCAAATGCCGGGGTCGATTCAACGTCATTTTCAACATTCCAGCCTCCATCTCCACAAGTACCTTACAAATTGCCCAAGTCCAATATAAATACACTTCATTTTCAAGAGAGAATTAAAACAGATAATCCCCAAAAAAAAATAAAAACAAAACAAAAACAGAAGGAAGAGAGAGAGAGAGAGAGAGAGAGAGAGAGAGAGAGAGAGAGAGAGAATAAACATAAACTTCATGTATCCGTCTTATTCTAATTTGTAATAGTTTTTTCTTCTTTTTTTTTTTTTGTAGGCTACTAGTAGTAATTACAGTTTCAAAATTATTTTATTGTTAATGAAAGGAGAGTAGTTATTTTTCCTAGCCTTAATTGTATTTTTTTTTAAATGATTTTTGTCAAAGTGGACTTAATTGCTACTATTACAAAATGTTAAAGGAGTAATTTTTGGTAGGTAATGCCTAATAGATTAATTGTCTCACTTCATTAATTACTAGATCTCTTCTATTCTATATACAGTTACTATGTACTCTCTCTCCTAAAAAAATAGTCAATATCGAGTTTTTAAATTTATATTAAAATTATTACAAATCTCAAAATTCAATATAATTTTTTTTTGGACAGAGATAGTATAACTAACATATACTCTGTCTCAAAATTATTGTCCAGTTTGAGATTTCACTTTTAGTACAATTTGAGCTAAAAATGAAAATTCAAACTGTACAATAATTATAGGACGGAGAGAGTATGTATATAAGTTGGTCGTGGAAAGGTTTTCTTTTTCTTTTTTTCCCTTGGTAACGTAACATAACAAATTGATAGTTTGAACCTCATTCTTACATGATTTGATCAAATTCAATCAGACACTTGTTATCCATTTTCGTTGCTCATTGTTTTTAATTGTTGGTAATCTGCAAAACGCCAATCCATTAACCCTGCGCGCTCTATAAAGAGATATGGGAGGACAACAACTTTAGCACGTAAATGTAGCACACATCATTATTATATCACTTTCAATTTTTTTCAATTTGTTTATTTATTTATTTTTTGTTCATCTTGGACATTGTGGTTGTGATTTCGCGAGTTAAAGATAAATAGAACGAAATGTTGCAAGAAAAAATGTGACATACAGCAAGATAAAACGAAGGAAATCACTATAAAGTCATTAGAGCATCATTTCAAGGAATTTCAGTCACATAATTAGCGAGAGAGAAGAAATTAGGTTTATGTGAGAACCTGATTTTGTTCGGGTTCAAAGGAATGGCGAAAAGTCATGGTTTCGATCTGTAAATCTGGCCAGAAAAATAGCACAAACAAATGAAAAAACAAGATTATAAACCAAACCCACATAAAATCTGACCCTTTTTTTCAAAAAAAAAAAACATGCATTAAGATCGATTAATTCGAATTCGAACCTTGTAAATAGAATCAACTCAATCAAGGCTGAAGGAAGGCTTGATCTTGAGAGCTGGAAAAGATGGAGATTTGGTGAAGTTCTGAGCTAGGTGAAAAGGCTATATATATATAATCAATTTTATTGAGTACTCCTTCGTCCCAAAATTATTGTCCAGTTTAAGATTTTACTTTTAGTACAATTTGAATTGAAATAAAAACTAAAATTGGACAAGAATTATGGAACGGAGGGAGGGAGTATTTATTTTTGCAGCTAAACTTTCCCAACAAACTGAAGTTATTACTACTACAGACTGACTACAGAGAGATGGCCTAAAATGGGAAGTTGGTGAGTTTGCTTTTGGTTTTTTGTCGCATGAATTTAGTTAGTATGGCCCGATTTAATGTACGGTTCCCAATCACATTTATTTGCTTACGTCATCCGTGAATCTCACAGTCGTGTACATATGAATACTAGTACAAAAAGTTGTGCTCCACTACTCCATAATTTCGTATCATGTTTTTTATTTTATTTTAAACTTTTTATTTTTGGTTTGGGAAACTTTATTCTAATAATTGACAAACACATAATGTGGGATGAGTATGTACTCCTTCCCTATATATAGTGTAAGATTATTAGTGGAATTAAAGCCATAAAATATTTATTAAAAAAAAAGCCATAAAATAATACGCTATATACTAGTTAAATGAGGATCCCCAAGTGTCCTAGTGACAATGACGGTGTGAACCTAATCTGTTGATTAGTTCATATTCGATTCTCGTCCTGAAAGAGAGAGATTTTCCTGCGTATTATGGGTGCATTCTTTTTAGAGAAAAAATATATATGTTGTTCCGATCTTAGAAAAATAGTTTATATTGTATTTTGTAATTTACAATTATATTATATTTTGTGATATGTATTTATAATAACAAAATCAAATGTGAATTTTTTTGGGGCATAGGGTCATAATTACATAAATAGCTAAGGAACCAAATGAATTATTCTAAAATGCTACTTGCTTTAAGCAGATGTTTTGTTTTATAAACAGTAAAGTTGTCGCAATATTAGATTGTACTCGGTCAAGTTTAGTGTTAGATATAGATGGTGTAAGTGCTAGGACTTACAGAATTGTTGAAGCCTTGAAGGTTGAGTTTGAGCCATGTGCATCACGAAGCAAATTATTTTGGTTTTCAAAAAAAAAAAAAAAAAAGGAGAAGCAAATTATTTGGCCTGCATGTGGACCAAATTAAAAAATTAACCTGAGCTCCTATTATTCAAACAAATGCTGAAAATGGAATATTATGTAGTTGGCGTTGTCCACTGGACCACTCATGATTTGTGTTAGTACTGTATAAGCTTTGCTTTTTACTTTATGTTTTAGCTCTTTCATTGTATTGAAATATATATATATATATATATATATATATAGTGTTATATCTGTATCAATATACAACATGCATGAGATCATTAAATAGCAGAATAAGGTAGAGTAAAAATGTAAAAAGTTTTTAACATTGAAATAATGACCTAATCATTCTTTCTGTTTCAAAATAAACTAATTTTCTAGTTTAAATTTTTATTTTTAATACAAATTATACTTAAAAATAAAAATTCAGATAAAATAATCGTTTTGAAACATGAAAAAGACCTTGCAAGATACGTGCTGCAAGGATGAATTATGTAAACTTGCATGGATTAGGAGTTACATAGAGAAATAGGCGGTTATATGTAAGAGATTCAATGCTAGTATGGGAACATCTATCTAGCTCACGTTTTGGAAACATTTCATATGAAGACCTTATAAACAACAACAAACTCCTTTTTTCACTACTTGGGGTTAGCAAGATAGATCATATGCCGCCATCATGCTCGGTCAATGCATAAATCATCATTCAAATTTAATTATTTCAAATTATTTTTTGTATTTTCTTTCCAAATTTTCTTAGGTTCATCCCTATCCCTCTTAATTTAAATTATTGACTCTAATTTCCACCCTCCTAATAAGGGTCTCTATCAGTCTTCAACGCACATGTGCGAACCATCTCAAGTAATTGTCTCTCAATGTTTCGTCTATTGGAGTTACCCTTACTTTCTCTCTATTGCATTCATTTCTATTCTTATCCAATCTAGTATGCCACATATACATCTTAACATTCTCATCTCCGCTACTCGTATTTTTTGCTCGTTCTCATATTTAGTAGCCCAACACTTAGATCCGTAAAGTATCACTGGTCAAATGGTTGTTCATTCGATAGAACTTACTTTTCAACCTCAATGGTACCTTACAATCAGTGTCGATGATGGCATTATAGAAAAAAAATGGTTGTGCGGATAAACTTATTGAGGCAAAAATATCTCATAACTGTTTGTTTTAAAATAATTATTTTAAGATGGAACGAGTATATTTTTAATGTGTCAGGGATGATTCATGATTGTTATGGGAGTTAGTTGGGAGGTTTTGTTATGACAATCTAAGGTTTTGTTCAATTACAAGAGTAGAGTTATGAAATTGATGAGAAACATGGAGCTTCCTATTAAAGTTCTTCCAAATTGGAGGATAAGAAAGTGTTCTTGTCTGTGGGAGGACCACGGATGTTTCCTTTCGAAAACAAGGGAAAGTTAGCTGTGAGGAGTTGACCTCCAAGGAGAAAAACTACACCTCAATCTCTTGAAGGAAGCAATGAGAAAGTATCATTAAATCATCAAAGTGAGGATCAATTATCTAATGAGTCAAGTGATGGTTTCGCTAAGAATTAGAGTACTGGTGATGATTCAAGTTAGAGTTCAAGTGAAGATGTGGTGAGTTTATTCCAAGGAATAGGCATAAGGAGAGCATTGATGATGCACACTCTTGTGTGTAGAGATCACTTCATTGGAGTGTGAGTATTTAGGTCTATGCAAGGAGTCTGTGTATGATCATGTCTGTCTCAATGTTGAAGTTGGAGATATAGACAATGAGCATCAAAGAAGAGAATGGACGAACGTTGTATTCAAGTCTTATAAGGGTGTTTTCATATTTATTGCTTTGATAGTTAAAAATGTCCGTTGATAGAATATGATTTTATTTATCTTGAGTCAATAAATTAATTTACCATTGGGTTAAATTAAGTCATAATGGTTGTCCCTAGTAGGTTAAATCATTAAGAGCATTAATTCGAGTCTTTTTGTTATTAAAAGAAGTAAGGCTTAACTTTACATCCAAGTTAAGTTAGATTAGGAGTTTGGCTCGGGGTATACTTTGTCTTTCCCTCATGCGAGAGGGAATAAAGAAGAAATAGGAAAAAAAAATCTTCTTTTCTTTAACCTAAAATCTAGGTTTAGTTCTTGGAGAGCAAGAAAACTTGCCTCTATGAAGGCTGGGCCGAGAGCTTAAATAGGTGGTGAAGATGGAATCGAAACTTATTTGAGTTTGATGACTTTTTAATGAAATATCATATTTTGATGGTTTCCGTTACAATGGAAGGTGTCTGTTGTGATGGAGAGATTGTACGGTTAGTCAATTTCTTGGCCTTTGAAGTCTAACGGAGCTAATCTTAGAGCAAATCCATTTTATCATGTTTACTTTTGCATGATTTTACTTGTTTTATAACCAATGTTCTTGTTTTCTTTTATTACGAGTTTCGATTGGTTTATAGTTTGCATACCTTGAGTTTTTTGAATTAGTGTGATTCTAGATCATGAGATATCTTGTTAAGTTTGTCTATTGTATAGATAGGTTGGCTTAGAAATAGCATATCGATTTGTGTTTGGCATGCTTTTTTGCTTTGGTTACAAATGGTCCTAGTTGATTAGTATTGTTTGTAGTTGAGTAGTGATTTGCACATTGCATCTGTCGACGATTATATGGGTGATTGTTCGATTATATTAGAGGGTTCAATCTTTAAGATGTAGTTGTTCAATTTGAGTGATTATTGGACTTTGTGTTTATAACTTGAGTTTGAGTTTGTTAAAATATGTTTATATGCATATAAAAGGTAGTTTAGTCTCTTCAAGTCTCTGCAGATATATACACTTTGTACTACCCCATTTGGGCAAATATGGAATATTATTTACTCTCTCATTAATCTCAATATTGTATCAGAGCCAAAGATCACCGTCAACTAGCGACCGATTCTTCAGGTTGATTTTCAGTGCCGGACTTCTTGGCTGGAATCCAGTCCTTCTTATTCCTTCTTCTATTTTCTTTGATTTCCAGCCACACCTAATCTTTGCTGATTCGGATTTCTCTCTCTGATATGTTGTTTCATTAGAGATATGAGAGTTTTATTGTGGCCTTTACCTTCGGGCAATTCATCGGCCGTCCAGCAGTCTTCTGCTTAAGTCCACGCACTGCCACTTGCTTCGGCTGCAAACTTTTTGTTTAATTAAATCTACGCTGGTTCTCTAAATAGAGCAACTTTCTAAGACATTCAGTGTCTTTCTCTTGGCAACATCAATCAGCCAGCTTCGTACTCTTCCGACGTACCGGCAAGTGAACCTCACGCGCCTCCTCTATCAGCGTTGATTATTTTCGGATCAATTTTGTAGAATATTTCCTGGATATCTAGTAAATCCATTGCTTCTGATTTCTAATATGGAGGACTCTTCAACTGTTGTTACTCCTCAAACACAAGAGGTGTACTCCAGTTTGACAGGAACGATGCTTCATAATTTTCAATCTTTTTCAGGTATCCCTACTCTTGCACTTGAAAAATTATGCTGCTTGGTCTGATGTTGTGCAAGTTTCCTTTAGAGGGGAAGGATTGTTGTAATTTTTATCTGATACCCTATGAATTTGGTTCATGCTGACTTAGAAAATTGGAATCAATTTGAAGCCAAGTTACTTGGTTTTTCATGGAAATCTATTGATACAAGTTTTCTAAATTTTTTCACAACTTGCACTTCATGTCGACATCTTTGGTGTCTTGGTCGGTCAATGTTTACTAGTGATGTTACTTATATTTATGATGTAGGTTGTGAGCTAGCTAGCTTACAGTTGAATGACACTGGTGTTCCAGGATTATTTGCCCGTGTCCATAATTTGTTAGGGGACTTTACTCATATATTTCCAATGTCATCCAATATAAATATGCAAAACACACAGCTAGAGCAATGTTCCTTATTTTTGTTCTTTGACCTCTTCCACCTACTTTTGAGCCAGTCAGAGCTCAAATACTCGGAGGAACTGTTCTTGCATCACTATCGGATGCTTCAGGCGGAGTTATGCGGGGTGCCCCACAGGCTCCTCTTTCTGCTCATGGACAACATCAAACTTCTTCCTTGGTCTCGCAGGCTTCCCCTCAATTTGCTCCAGCCCCTCAATCTGCCTTAATCTCCCAGGCATCTTCTTCTAATCCTCGTGGCAATGTTCCTAGTAAAGAGTCATGTAATCGGGGACGGGGCAAGGCTGAACATGTCTGTTCATTCTGTGGGAAGCATAATCATCTTATTGAGGATTGTTTTATCCTTCATGGTTGTCCATCACGCAGTCACAATCCTCCTGGTGCATTTTCAAGCATGCATGTCTACCCATCATTTGGTGGTTTGGCTTCTGTATCTGGTTTAGCATCTCTCCCTAAATCTAGTGCACCTACCACTATGCCTCCTATTGTGCCTCTCCCATCACAATGTGGAGAATGATCTCATTCTTTTACTAGACAAACCTCTCAGCCAACTAATCCTGCTCTTGGGCCTCCACCACGAGTAGAAGCTTCACCCACTGCCCTTCTAACCTCTAGAGGTAATGTATCTCTGTCAATGAGATGGACTATTGACTCTGGAGCCACTAACCCTATGAGTGGAAATCCCTCTTTGTTCTCAACATTGTCCAATCGTAATATGCCTCCTGTTACACTTGCTAATGGCTCACGAGCCTCTATTTGTGGATTTGTTTCAGTTTCACTTAACTCATCTATCGCCTTACCCTCTGTTTTATATGTACCTAGCTTTCCGTTCAATTTATTATCTTTAAGCAAATAAACCAAACAATTACAGTGCTCAGTTATATTTGATCCTACTTCTATTGTTGTTCAGGATCCAAGACAGGCAAGGTGATTGGTATAGGATATGAGTCGCAGGACCTTTATTATTTTGGTAGACCCCCTTTTGTATCATGCACTGCAAGTGCTAACAATGTTGACCAAATTCATTATCGCCTTGGCCATCCTTCTTTTGCTAATTTAAAGGTCATGATCCCTACTCTTAAAAATGTATCAGAATTACTCTGTGAAGCTTGTCAACTAGGTAAACACACCCGTTCATTGTATCCTAGTAGAGTTGATCGGCGGGCTTCTGCTCCTTTTGCATTAGTACACACAAATGTATGGGGCCCTAGCCGCACTGTATCTAAGAATGGTCATTGTTATATTGTTACTTTTATTGATGACTATTCTCATATGACTTGGTTATATTTAATGAAAGATCGTTCTGAATTATTTTCTATTTTTACTGAATTTTGTGCTAAAGTCCACACTCAATTTAATTCTAGAGTTAAAATTCTTTGTAGTGATTATACTGCTTTCATGACTTCTAATGGCATCATTCACCAATCTTCTTGTGCTCATACTCTGTAACAAAATGGAGTAGCAGAGCGCAAGAATCGTCATTTAATTGAAACTGCTAGAACACTCTTGATTCATATGAATGTCCATTTGTATCTTTGGGGTAATGATGTACTTATTGATTGTTATTTAATTAATCGTATGTCATCCGCATTGTTGAATTTTAAGATTCCATATACTGTTTTGTTTGCTCATGTTACTTAATATTCTCTTCCACCTCGAGTTTTTTGGTGTGTTTGTTTTGTTCATCAATTAACTCCAGGAATGGATAAGTTAGGACTTTGTTCTACGTATGTTTTTGTCGGGTATTCCTGCTTCCAAAGGGCTATCGCTGCTATTCACCTACTTCACAAAAGTACCTTATTTCTGCCGATGTTACATTTTATGTCCATTCCTTATTTTTCATCTCCCAATTCATCATCTATTGTTCCCGAATATTTACCTATATCCTTTTCATCTCCTAATACTCCTCCACAATATCCTACATCTGAAACTCTCTCTCCTCTTTTACTCACTAATACTACTCCACCTCCCTCTCCTCCCATCACATCACTTTCACCCATCATTCATTCTCGCTTAGGACAGCCCAATTTATGGACATATAGCCGCCGCCTCCCTATACCTCCAAATCATTTACCCATAGGAGATTCATCTAGTAGTACACCTGCATCCCCTACTTCTCCATTCCTTCCTGCGCTCTCTTCTGTGTTAGGTTCGCCTACCAACTCAGACCACTTCACCTTGCCAGGTATGTTCGGTCTTAACCTTTCAATTGCTTTTTGAAAAGGTCAATGTTCTTATACTACTCGTCATCCAATTCAGAATTTTCTCACTTACTCCTATTTATCACCACCATATGCTACCTTTATCTCTTTTTTGTCCTCTAGTTCTATTTCCCATTCTCTTTCGAAGGCCCTTTCTCTTCCAGGTAGCTGAATTGGATCAAAGAACGGTAGAAACATTAAAAGTGTAAAACTTTTATATACAATCTTCAAACCCTAAACTCAAAAATGGTTTGGTTTCACAAAGAAGACAAAATTTGAAGAAGGATAAATCTGTAAGGCTAAAACAGTCATTTGAAATAAGGTTAAAATATTAAATGAATATCATAAGTAATTATATCTAACACCCTTTATAATAATTTGATCTTTGCTATGTCCTTTATAGAATTCACCCAATAAAATAAACCCGATAACCATGTATTTTTCCAATCTTTAATACAACTTGTAATCATACTTTTATTCATATCTAAACTCTTTCTTTATTATATTCTTAAAATTAATAGCATCTTTATCGGTTACGATTACAATCAAATTACTTGTCTGTAACTGAATTCCTTTTACTACTGAAAGAAACATAGTTTTCTTCAATAGCTAAACATCTAACTCCCTACTATACCATGGATCCCCTCGGATCCGATGAAGCACAAAGAAAAAAAAATCCAGTATTTTGAGTAAGAACTCATGGCGTAATTGATGAAAATACTTTGTTGTCGCAAAAACGTAGCAATGCACGAGTACAAAAAAAGTGATGTTGTTGATTCCAATCACAATTCCATCAAATAAAGAGGACGATCTACATTCACAAACTTGGGAAAAAGTAAGTTCAGTAATTTTCTTTACTTTTTTTTATACACTGAATATATCATGTCATCGATCTTGAGGAAATCATTTAAGTCCAATAACTTTACGATTTTCGTTATGGTTGTGAAACTACTCTGCCAGATTAAAAATTGCCAATAACTTCCATGGTAGTTGTGCCTAGCGATCAGCATCCCTCAAACAAACATCATAGAATCCTTTACGGGATTATACAAATAGTATGTATGCCAATATTTCATTGCTTTAAAGTACATATGGTTTCTTTATCTTTCATTTTATATGTCCTTTTTTTAGAACGGAATGATTCGAGGCACACTATTGATATGATCTGCCATCAAACAAATTGTGTTACACAATGTACCACTGCTGATTGCAGTTCTTTAGTTGATTGTAACTACCGATATTATATATGTAAAATATATGCTTATATTTGCTACATATGTTCCTTTTTATATGTGTTGATTAGATAAAAGTTATAATTTCTTTTTGTGTTAAACTAATATTTCAGCTCTAACAATATCATTGTGGTATCTAAGCCCACGAGAATTTTGTGTTTGCAACTGCAATGCGGTGTCTAAATCTAATATGCTTGCCGAAACAAGAAAAAATAGGCGTAGAAAGATGGCAAACCAGGGAATTACTAGAAAATCTACCTCGAAGAACATCAATATGCAGATTAGTTCATCTACCCTACTTGATTTAACTTCCACAGTTGAATCAATTGTCTAGCCCTTACTAGAAGTTCCCATCGTAACAACTCCTTCATTGGATATAAACAGTGGTTAGTACATTTGTCTTCCTAAAATTATTTTTTTGATGGTGTTCTCTTTATAGTATACATGTTGTAATTATGAAACATGTTGAACTTACATGCAGACATTACATTGACACCACTATACTCTGGTAGTAATGCAACTAATATCCTCAATATCAGTCAACATGTACGCATTAATATGAGAGCACACCAAAAAGGAAAAGGGTAACTTACATTCCAAACCATGGACATAGGTATTATTCATTTTCTTTAAAGAACATCAATGTTTACAATTGTTTTTGTTTTTTTGTTATGTTGAAAAAAAAGTAGCATCGTCCACTAGAGACGACGATGCCGTTGCCTATATAGAAGGAATTAGTAAAGGTAATTACTTACAATTTCAATACTTTGATATTTACGATTCTACTACACACTGGTATGTTAAATATCTCTAAATAAATTTAACTTAAAAGTATATTGACTTTGGTGATCCTAAATACATGAACATTAAGGTAATGTGGTACAATGAGAGATCACCAAAGAATGGACCACATAGCGACCGTCCAAAGTTTTCATTGTGATGTATGAAAGGTAAAGTGAAATTGTCAAAGTTGGCAGAACCATCAAAAGTGTTGAAGGATCTTTCTATAATGATGATGCGGGGAGCAAAAAGTTCGGAGATGCAATAAGAGCTTCTAATATGATGTTCGCGTGGACGTCGATGGGAGGGCAGATAGACAAGTCCATCAATCAAGGACGTGGCCCTTGGGTTTTCAGACTGCATGGTCAGAATTATCACCATATTGGCTGTCTTTTACCCAATCTAGGGGATTTATCGATGTTCTCTCAACTCCATATATATGACACTAAAAATGAAGTATCTAATAGAATCAATGCATTGAGGTAAAATTCTTTCTACATTTATTAATTTTTTGTTTAATTATTATTTTTTTATTGATAAGTTATTGCTTGCATGCAACTCCGATCCTTTGACTGACAATAAGTTTGATGATAAAGTCGTCAAAGATCTCGCCAAGATGTTGGATGAGCATAATCACTTAGCCAAGACATACAGAAAGGTGAGAGATCGTTTTGAAAACTGGCAAAGATGCAAATGTGAAGATGGTGATAGGTGAAAAGTGGGGAAAGGACGATAGGTTATATAATCTTCCAAGTGCATATGAAGTTGCTACCATTGTTGTAGAAGACCGTGAAACAACAACCGAAAGCCGTAGAGATATCATCATTGAAAAGTATAACGGTGAAGTTTAGCGAATAAGCGAACTCCAAACCAATGTACTGGGCACTGCAATATCCTTTGCTTTTACCCTACGGTGAGGATGGATATAGGCTGGGAATTCCACTTTATGGTGAAGAGTTTGTCGAATACACACCTGATGAAAATGATAATGAGGCAGAGTCCGATGAAGATGACGAGGAAGAAACTAATGAATCTGACTCTTTGAAGGGACAAAGAAAAACATTGACCATGAAGCAGTAGTTTGCTTTTAGGATATAGGAAAGGCTCAATGCGAGTACACATTTTCTGTATGCAAGAAGGCTTCTTCAACAATTCCTGGTATCAACTTTCACAATGATCGAAACACAAAGGTTGTCTTTTATCCAAAGAATTCAGACGAAATTGAGGAAGTGAAATATAACAAAATACGGCCATCATTTGAAGCGGATAATTCTGATGTATTCACAATTGGAAAGTCCGTTGTC